TTTTCAGCATGACAGTTCTTAATATCAATTACATTATTTGTAAAACAAGCTGTTAGATTCAATATAATAATTCTTGCACTGGGAATATTAACCATTAACTTGATAAGTAACAAGACTTGTTCCTGTGCAACAGGAGGGCCAGTGTAAGAATTAAAATTCCATTATTACTATAAAACTTTGACAATTTATATTCTAGATTAGATATTTGTTATTTAATTGATTGCAGCACATCAATAGCGTGCTAATCTTACCTGTTGTTCTCTTACTGTTATGTGCCTTCTGGTACTGGCGTTGCCTGATGTGTCCACAGTCTGGCGTACGTCCTGAAATAAAAAATTTTGAAATTACTGAATAATAAAATATAAGTAGGCTGTGAACACGTACAAATGATTACTAATCCGAGCATGCGATTGCTCTTGAATAAATTTTAATTCCAAATGTTGGTACGCGCCGAACAAATTCGTAACACATCAAGCGCGTTGAGATATCGACAAACTTCCCCATAATCAAACAGCAAGTACTTATAGATAGAAAACCCAATAATTAATTATTGACAATACGTCTGTCCAATATGCATATAATTTTATAAACGCATGTTATTTTTCAAAGATATTGCTCTGAGCAAATTCTCATCAGTGCATATGCAGTATCATTGTGCAGCCATCACAAAACCATGTCAAATAACAGTGAACTACAATACTACGTAACAGTCTGTAGCATATCCATTCCTGTATTATAAGCAAGTGCATTTAGATAAAGAAGTTTATCACGTGATAATTCGTCGGTCAGAATGTCAAACTCGAGAATCAACAAGTTACCCGCCACGAATTTTGTTTTGGGATACTCAATACAAGCAAACCCTGCGTGGTTAAACAAACATTGCATTTATTGTCAATTCTCGTAAGAAAAGCTAATATTTGTCATACTCTGAAACGCATTCCTACAGCGATGGGTTATTATACTATTTGAGAAGCATAGACTTGATGCAAATGGGTCCGGTACGTTTGCCCGACAATTCATTTGCCCGACAAAAACTATCCAAAAAAGGATAACTTTGAAATAATGCTGGTAAATATTTGGCGGACTGTCGGGCAAACGTTTGTCGGGCAAGTAAATGGCTCCCGACGCAGCGTGCTAATCTTAGCATTACGCCTTGCAATTTCCATCCCAAGCAAAACCTGTTGATCGATCCAGCTGGGATACCACCAGAGGAAAAAGTTCAATTGCAGGAATATGCAGTTGACAATCTGGAATACCTGAGGTGTCGCATGCAATGGCTGAAAATACAATGGAGATGCGCCGCCCCAAAAGGTATGGCACTGTATTATTTGGATGTTTAGCGTAGCGCAAGCATTGCTTATACCATAAACAGTTTGATTACAAGATCGTTCGTAGGAATTTCGTGCAAGATCGCAAGCTGGAGACAATTTAGCTAGCCGCCAACTTCGACAACCATTGTTTGACATGCAGTCTCTTTTGAGTTAGGCTCCCGACCGACTGCTCTGGTAAGGTCAGCTGTATAATAACTATTTTGATCCTCAAGAGATTTTGCCCACTATCACTGAATGATCCGTGTGAGACGCTTCATCAACCATGATTTTCCATTTGCCAGGCGGGAAGCTTTCGTTTCTTTTTGCAAGGTCAAGCCAGTCGGTATAGTCAAATTCAAGTCGTACTTAATTTTGTGTCAATGTCTCGCACATACTTTGGTAAAGTTACGCTGAACAAGCTTCGAGTGACACGTTTTCGCGCAATGATGATTGGTTTAACATCGTCCTCGCTTATTTCCAAATTTCCTTCTCGAAATACAAGTAAGCGTTCCCTGGCTTCGTTAGGGGATTTTTCTTCAGTAGAAGTTGAGCAGATCGCATATGAGAAGCAGTTGAGATGTTTGAACTAATAATTTGCATATTCTGTCTATTGCAAAAAATTCATCGGTTACAGTCCAATAGTATGCAAATAGATAAGTGTGACTTTATGTTTCGAGCCCTCTGTGGCACTTGCATGAGCCTTTTGCTAATACTAACGAGTCATGTAAATAAATATAGGTGCGTTCATATTTCCTGTCGAGTGGCACACTCGTTTAAATGACAATCAGAAGTCTGAGCCAGAAAATTATTCAATACAAAACGCGTTTATGACAATTGAATAATAATCCTAGTGCCAAAGTGCTTACAAATTTAACTATTCCAAAAAGCGGTTTACATTTCAACGCGTAGTCCAGACACAGCACACACGGGGATATGCAATTCACGTACAAAGAGGTCCAATTATGTAATGTTCAAGGTCACAAAACTGCTCTGTATTGTTCTCAACATAAGATTATAAATAAATGACGTCATTTCCGGACATATTAATAATCGGTATATTAAACAAGAATGTTTTTTAATCGTTAAATCCAGATATCGTTATATACGGTCATCGTTACATCCAGTCCTAATATATATTTTTCTTGCAAAATTGTGTGAAGCGAGCTTCGTTTTTTTTAATCAAATTTCATTGTAATGAAATCATCGATTTAAACAGTAGCATAGTGATGGTAGAATAAGTAATAAAACGCTCTCGTATCTTCTCTATTAAAAGAGGACTCCCGTATGATCGATAGATTAATTCCTTTATGGTCACGGCTTTTCGTGATGCGATCGTATTAATGAAATTTCTGCTTAAAAGCGTATCCAAATCGAGTGCGAATCATATAAACATTTTCATTCGGCTCATGCAAGTAAAATAAACATCGATCAAACCAATTTAACATCTCGAAGGTTGTTCGGCTAGCTTCTAGAAACTTATCACGCCCACCGAACTCGATTTTTAACTTCAGCTTGCTTATCAAGATCACAATGGGAGTGACATCATATTCGCTAGTTACTGTTTCTCAAACTTGTCGACTTTAAACCCCAGTCTGTGGCGTGAACCCTAACTAATCCGAATCGCTATGTAGGGGACTTGTTACGATCGATGCTGCAACACCCTGTATGTATGTGACTTTTATATTATGTCTACATTATAAACAATAGGAGACATTTGATTTCAATGCCGAATAAGGGAACGAGATATTATGGCTCGCCAATGATTCGGTTACATATTAATGTTAGACAAACGTGGTTGTCTTGTGAAAAAGCACTGATCGGAATACTTCCCCTTAACATGCTCACCCAATGACTGCCTTATAATGTTCCCCAAACTTATCCTAAATTCGGTTATTGTACACCCAATAATGGTAACACCTGCTTCATTTTAAAAAAAAAATTGTTTCCCCCGTTTATTTATCGTACTGATCACACTTGTAACGCTCCCTCAGGTGTGACTAATAACGAGACAACCACAAACAAAAAAAATTGATCATCACCAGCCTAAGGATTAAACTAATAAAGATGAGCAGGGGAATTTTCTCTCCCCTCACAATTGTCCCGCATACACAATTGATGTGAATTTTGTGTTGGAAAACAAAAACATCTGACACGCTTCCCCATCCGATTTCTCTTGAATCATGGCAACAGTAAAATTATGGTCAAGCATTTACAATTCCTATCTAGTCCCATATACCGAGACTATTAGAGATAGGATTGTGGTGTATGAGGCTCTTGCGCCGTATGTGAAGGAAGCTTCGCAAGAGAGTATACTATTTATGACGATTGGATTGATTGTAACTGCTGTGATTGTGGTTGTTTCCTTGAGAAATTTGATGGTAAGTCTTTGATAACAATTTGATAAATCGATTGAAAACTGTAATTATTACCAAGACGAGGAATCTATCGCAATTCGAAAAACTGTGTTAAAATAAAATAAAAAAAGCATTGCAAGTTTTCCCATACTCCACAAAGTGAACTGTACATGGAAAATTATCTGACGTGAATTGTCTTTCAATTTCTCCAGTATCCTAAACAAGAAAGTAATGAGCCGCCTATGGTCCCTTATTGGATTCCGTTTCTTGGGTCTGCTATTCGTGTTGGAACCGATCCTATTAGATTCTACCAAGAATGCCAGGAAAAGGTTGAACATTATTTAGACGTAGTGCTGTTGCGGTAGATATTGCAATTTATCTCTTAATCGATTATCGAATAACGTTCTCTAGTATTATCTTCATGTAGTACGGCAAATTCTTCACTATTACATTAGTCGGTCGTAAAATGGTCACCTGTCTCGGTGCAGAGGGAAACAATTTTGTATTCAACGCAAGACTAGCAGATGCATCAGCCGAAGAAGCATATAAGGGGCTCACGGTACCAGTATTCGGCACAGGCGTAGTTTATGATGTACAGAATTCAGTTCTTATGGAACAGAAAAGGTAAAGAGACATTGCCGGTATTCAATATGAATTAAACTCACTATTATTTTACTAATTCACTGAGAATTTCTTCTCTATAGATTTGTAAAGGCCGGATTGTCTCAGGAGAATCTGAGAGCATACGTCCCGATGATTATCAAAGAAACGCTTGAATACTTTGAGCGATGGAACGAGCCCAAAGGAACTGATGATATTCACGAAGCCATGGCCGAGTTGGTTATTCTGACCGCATCAAGATGTTTGTTGGGAGATGATGTCAGATCTCAAATGGACGAGTCATGTGCGCATCTTGTTAACATTTGTGAAAATTGCTTGTTTGTTATTAAAGTACAAAAAAAGAAACAATTTCATACTTATAATTTGTTTTTTTTTTTGTTTACACAGTCGCCAAGGTATACAGCGATCTGGACGGTGGTTTCGCTCCGATAAACTTTATCTTTGAAGATCTTCCCTTACCAGCCAACAGGCGTCGCGACCAAGCACATGTCAAAATGCGAAACTTTTTCCTATCGATCATGCAACAACGTCGAAAAAATAAACGCACTGATACCCATGACATTATGCAATACCTGTTGGATAACTGTGAATATAAAAACGGGAGACGATTATCCGATCAAGAAGCAGCACATATTCTCATTGCACTCTTATTAGCCGGACAGCATACAAGCAGTACGACATCGGCGTGGGCGTTAATCTACTTGGCTCAGAATCCGGAAATTTTTGATGCTCTTCGCGAGGAGCAGATCAGAGTTTTGGGTTCATTGGATGCGGAGGTTACTTTTGATTCTTTGAAGCAGATGCCTATATTGGATAATGTTGTTCGCGAAACATTGAGATTGAGACCGCCAATTATGACTATGATCAGGAAAGTGCTTAGAGATTTGCCTATTCCGGGAACAGAATACGTAATTCCCCAGGGTGCTTACATCCAGGCCGTGCCCATGATTTCGCAGAGAGATGATGGGTATTTTAAGAATGCTGACAAATTTAGCCCTTTTCGATGGGAAGATTATGATAAACAACAAAAGGAACGAGATGATGATGTGGTTGATTATGGGTGGGGTGCTATTCATACTTCATCTGCCAAGTCGCCTTATTTACCATTTGGAGCTGGTAAGTGTGGCATAGCTGAAGGGGAATTGTTGTACATTTGCAATCCACATGACTATCTAATGATAACATAACAATTCCATCGTAACAGGCCGTCATCGGTGCATCGGTGAGTCTTTTGCGTATGTACAGATCAAAACTATCCTTGCAACATTTGTCCGAATGTTCGATTTGCGACTCCATAATAACAAATTCCCTGAAGTCGATTTTACTACCTTAATTGTTACACCTGTGAAACCTTTGGTTGACTATACGAGACGCGATCAAAAGAAATAATTATGTAAGATACGAATAAAATACAAAGCAACTTTGAATGATCTTGTCGTAAACTGACTTCAGGCTTATTTGCGAGTATGAACTCTTAAACAAGATTTTTGTATACGGTCATCAAGTCTACCCGTAATCATAGTAAGCGATTTGAATGTGTAACTAGCAAACTGTGTCTGCCGTTCCTAAGTTTACAGTTTAGTTGAGGCACGGACATTCCCAATATTTGCCGGCATACAATGCGATGTTCTTTCTGTATTTATATTTGCCAATAGTATGACAAGTTTATTTAATATTACAAAACTACAAAACAGTACCTAAATCAATCATGCTAACGTCCTTCACTTTTATCAAATTGGAGCCCATGACTTGCTGTCCAGGCTCCTCCGGGCGCAGGTGGACGCGCTTGATTAGCAGTATTATCTTTAAATGCAATACCCATGCTCGGTTGCCATTCTCCAGGAGTCACATTAGGTGGTATAGGTGAAACTGATACTGAAGACATTGTTGTTGCAAGTTTGCTTTAAAAAGGAGAGAAATCAATAAACAACGTGAAATGAGTTGAAAAATAACGCTAGAATTACTGAAATAATTACAGCATGTCCAATTGTTCATCCACCGCCGCTTTTCGATTTCTTGCAAATTTAAAACATTCATCTTTAAAATCATTCAATGGTTTCCTAAACCCTTCGTAAAACTGAGAAAATCGCTGGGGTCAGTCACCGTGAATATGTAAAATTGATTCTTTCTCCACCATCATTTGTCTACCTTTGCGCCTTCTTGTAAATTCTTCAGTATTTCGTAGTATCTTTTGTACCCAGCCTCTAAATGTTGTACTTTTCTCACGCGCGCAAGATTAATATTGTGTTGTTGGCGTGTT